CAATTAGAGAGTGAAATGAAAACATGTGGACACAGCAGCTTCTATATCAAACATAATTCATGATCCAGGGGCCGCGTGTGCTGTGATGGAGACAAAACAACGTATTTTCATGTTTTATGCACAGGTGAGTCGCTCTTACAAGATGAAGACGGTGTCGTCTCCACCTTTTAAAGCCGTCTCTGCCACAAAGCCCTGACTGGATTCTCCCTCTCCTCCCTCTTCTCTCCTCTTTTTCTTTTTGCTATTAATTATTTTCTCAGTGACATGTGTTTGTTTGGATGGTGGTGATGGTGGTGGGGGGGGGTGTCAACAACGATGCACACACTGTCAGGGCTGTTGACAGCCTCGCAGAATTATCCAGCTTCACTGGAAATATTCCCCACCGCGGGCTATGACAACCGTGAATTATCGCCGCCGAGCGCCGTGTACACGCGGCCTTTGAAGTGGAGACAAAAGCATAAACATTATTACAAAGGCATTAATTCATTCAGGAGTGTGATCTGGAGATTTCACACAATTAAACCGCCATCTGCAGAGAGCGAGTGAACGAGAGAGAGAGAGAGAGAGAGAGAGCGCGGCGTCTCTCCGCCGACTGTAAACGTCCACATTGTGAACTTTTTACCCTGTAATTCTGCGCTGACATCGTCATTATCGAGTCAATAACGATTTCATCATTGTGTAGGTTGTTCCACACTGTATGGATCTTCAACCTGAGGGGCGGGGGGCCATATTTGAGGCCGGTTGAGTTTCTACACTCACTTTAAAAAAAAAAAAAAAAACAAAAAAAAAAAACGCGGCGTTTCTTGATCCTTTGGATCAAAACAAAATACTTGGAGTCCAGGTCACTGAGGACAAATCACGGGGCTGAAGAGTTTGATTGAGGAGGAGGAGGAGGAGGAGGAGGAGGAGGGGGGGGAGGAGAGGGGGGGGGTGGGGGGGAGAAGAAAAGCAGGAGAGTCTGAGAAAAAAAGGTAGGAGTTTGTTTCCTGACAAATGCACACAAATACCGGTAGAATGCTGCATTATGGGTAGTGGAGCCGCAGAACTACGAAGTGTGGGCCACCAGTGTCTTTGATGCCCACATGGGCCACCAGTGTCTCCTGCTCCTCCTCCGTCGTCACCATGTTTGTTATTGTCTGATCCTGGAGATTAACTCTGAGCTCAGCACTGCAGCCTAGTGGACATATTGCTGAATAACAACGTCAATCTCATGAGAGCACGTCTGAACCTGACCGACCCATTACCATAAATAAAGTCTACCCCTGGTACTGTACACCGGTGTAAAGACCAGTACTGGTGCAGTGGCGACCTCCCATGGCCTGAGTGTGTTGTTGCGTCCGTGCGTCAGTGTACACGTTACCTGCTGTCCAGGTTTGATTGGCGACAGTGTGATTCCCTGGGTGTTGATGACAGGCAGGATCTGACTCCCGATCACCGTGGCGATGATCTGGCCTTGAGCGTTGGTCAGAAGCTGAGGTGTAATTGGCTGTACCTGCAGTGCTGGGTTGCCACCCCCTGATTGGCTGGAGGGCCCTGCAGAGTTGGGCATCAGTGGGATTGTTCCAATTATCTACAACGGGGGCAAAAAGAGGAGAGGAAATCAGCTGTGAGCCTTGAAAGGGAAGAGCGAGCAGAGAGGCCGCCGCCGCGCCACTGGAGCTTCCTCCGCCGCGGCGGGTCTTTGTGAAGGACTCACTGACGCGTGATCGGAAACAAAGCACGTGTCGGCCATTTGGCTGTAAGTCAGCGGAATAAGGCGGCGGACATTTAGAAAATGGAACGCTGCAGATTACTCCAAACAGATAAAGGAAGAGTTCAAATACTCCACATCACAGTCTATCAAATGATTAAAGTCAACCTGGAAATAATAGCTGCTCATACACAGAGATTTTTTTCCTGCATCAAAGACAATTTGTGGTCATCATTAATTATGTTAATATAGAATTAATCATGAAATGAATGAATCAGGTGATATTTCTGATACAACAATTTCATCTTCCAGGTTTCAGTTTCACTGAATCTTCATCACGATAACGATTAATCAGGATTAATTCTGATTGTTCACAGCCAACCTGTGATTTTAAATGAAATTGTTTTATTAGCCAATCAGGAAACACGTCTTAACCAAAAACTACATTTTTAATTCGAAAGTGTTTTGAATTTATTTCTTCAAAAATTAGTAAAAAAAACCTACGCCAACTTTTCTCCATTTTCTCTCTGTAATTCCAGCATTATTTTCTTTTTCTTTTTTTTTTCTCCCTCTCTCTGTGTCTTTGTGGCTGGGGGGGGGGG